GTGGGGGGGCTCCTCACATGCCTCTTCAGCCCTCTCACACCAAAATTGTGTGTGTCTGCCCTCCAGCCTAGTCCCTGGCTGGCTCCTGGGACCACTAAAGTCAGAAGGTCAAAGAGCTTCTGTCCCCCACAACAGACCACTGCTGGGGGCCCAGTTGGCTACAGAGCTTTTCGGGGAGCTGGTTAACAGTGTAGATACCTAGCTCTACCAAGGAGCATCTGACCCAGCAGCTTGGGCAGCCAGGTATGAGAGTCACTATTCAAGAGGAAGGAAACCGCTGGAAGAGTAATCTTACCTCCATTTGCACCCCCAATGATGATTTCCCTGAAATAACCTACTGTGAGAGACTTGGAGGGAGCCCCTGGGAAGTTGCTGCTCTGGTCCTGTATCGCCCTGGGAGTTCCTTTCCAGGTTCCCGGCCTGGGTGGGGCACCAGGCCCTGGCTGCAATCGGAGGTGCCACGTACAGCCCGAGAAGAAATGAATGAGGAGAAAAGGCCAGAAGGGAGCTACACTCTGGGCTTTGTCACTTCCAGGTTCTGGGTTTTGGCCTGTGCTGGGAACCACAGAAAAAGAAAGTGGAAAGGCAGATAAAAAGACCCTTCTTGATGAATTCTGGGAATATACTTAGGTAGAGAAGAGAGGCTGCCAGCTGCCGAGCTGACCCGTTCATGTCTGGAGTTCCCAAATGTGCTTAGTGCTCTGCCTGCACCACAGGATTGTCCCACGGGTCTGAATCACCTCCATTTTACAGGTGATGAGACAGAGATTCAAAGTTTTGACTTGACAAAGTGGCAGAGCCATGCTAAAGAGACTTCACCACCCCATTATGCTGGAGTTCAAGGCCCAAAGGGCCAAGATACCAAAGTTATTGACTTAAGTTAAAAAGATGGCCAAATCCAAAAATAAGGACATACATACTTAAAGAGAGCTCCTAATGGCCAAACCTGAACAAGCTGAGCATCAATAAATTCCCGTGAGTCCATATTGATATAAGTAAATAATTGACTAAAGAAATAAACACATGGGAAATAAGTAACAATTCCTGGATAGAATTCCAAATAATCTGTGTGGCTACTCCCCCCTTAAGAAGGTGGAGCTAACTTCCTACTCCTTATGTGTGGGCTGCACATAATGACTTTCTCCTAAGAGAACAGTATAGACAGGGGAAAATAGTCTCACTTTAGAGTGCAGACATCTGATGAATGTGACTGCAGTCAGGCAATCAAGGTCAACATCAACAATGACGTGAGTCCTGGGCCCTGGACACATGACATAAAAAGGGTGGTTTACACCTCTGTGTCTTCCTCACCAAAACCTATACCAGTCTAACCGTAAGAAAGACATGACACAAAGCCCAGTTGAAATCTGTTCTACAAAATCCCTGACCAGTCAATGTTATTACAAATAAAGCAAGTCTGAGAAACTGTCACAGCCACGAGGAGACTAAGGTGATATGACAACTAAATGTGAGATCCTGAAACAAAAAAAGTACATTAGGAAAAAACTAAGGACATCTGAATAAAGTATGGACTTTACTTAATAATCACGGATCAATATTGGTTTCTCCACTGTAATAAATATACCATACCAATACAAGACGTTAATAGGGAACATGGGGTATGGGAACTCTCAGTACCATCTTCACGATTTTCTGTCAATCTAAAACTGTTCTAGAAAAGAAAGTTTATTTAAATTAAAAAAAAAAAAAAGGCAAGCTATAGGACAGGACATCCTGCTCTGCTCACTGAGGTCCATCTGACCCTGGGCAGTCACCTAGCTTCCCAGGAGTCCATTCTAAAGGCAGGCTTGTCTTGATCCAGTGTCTGCTTGGATCAGTCCATTCACCACATGAGCAGAAAGAAAGAAGAGCCGGTGAGGCTGGGTTTGGCAGTGTCAGTCAGTACATCCCTGACTCCCTGCCCAGAGAGGAGGGACGGCCCCAAGCTATGTGCCTGCTGAACAGTGCAGCCTAACCTCCCACCCTCATTACCTCGTCTCACTCCCTGCTCCTCCCAAAAGTGAAAAGCCAGGCATTTGTAAAGCAGGCTGCTAAGGCATAGTTTAAAAATAATCAGCAAGAGCACATGTGACAAATCAGAAGCAAGAAGGTCTGGAAAAGTGTTCCTCAAACTTTGTTTTAAGACTGTTCCCATAAACACTGGGGGTCTGTGTTTTTATTCAGTCCTAACCTTCCCGATTAAACAGCCATAGAACCTAATTTTCTGATGAAGAAAAGATAAAACAGTTTTATCTTCACATAATTCAAACCAAAGAGCCCTTACAGCCTTTTGCCACTTCCAGATTTCACGCTGCGCTACTGATACAGAGGAGCCAAGTTCTAAGAGAACCCAGACCTGGATCTTCAGACAGGCCTGTAGGAGTCAGACACCAGGACACTTACTTTCTGAGGATGATGACCGCTCTGCGCTCCTTAATGTCCTGAGGCCGTATGCAGTGAGTGATTTCATCAGCAGCATATCCACTGAAAAGAAAGACGGGACATATGAGCATGGAGACTAGACAGACAACCCAAGTTCGTGTGTGTATGCGTGTGTGTGCGCGCGCGTGCATGCGTGTGTGTTGGGGGCGGGGATACAGAGAAATACTCCAGTCCAGGTCTTACAGCCACCCTCTGCCCCATTATTTGAGATGTTCAAGGATCTTCTGGAATGGAAAGAACAAGTGAAGCTCCAGAACACTACTACCCAGAAACTATGCAAGGAAGACCTGGGACGAGGCAAAGGAGGCCTTAAGGCAGAAAAGCAGAGATCTACCTGCACAGACTAGGAGCCCTTTTAAAAGGCCCTCCAAGAGGGTACACCTTCAGTCACTTTGGAGGCAGCTGGAGTGACTGAGGCCAGACCTGTGACAAGACCAGCATCTCCCTCCTGCGCTCCCTTTCCCCTACCTTGCAGCTTGCAGAGGAAGCCAAGGCCGACACTGACAGCACTGAGTCACTAGGGAGAACTAAGACTGCAATGTTCAAAGAGAGAATTTGTCTACTTGGAAAAAAGCTTTCAAAAACCTCCATTTGGGGGGCTGGGGAAAATCCAAAATCCTGAAGACAGCTGTGTTTGGGATATTTTAAGTATTTCCATCACAAATATCTATCTGTTTTCATCAAGTTACATGATTTGTAAAACTGCTCACAGACCACTGAATGTAGATGACTGTTCACAGCTAATGTCTTTCCAATTTGAAACTGGGGAAGCAAACTCAGCTTCCTGAGCCCCCTCATATACCCTAATTGGGAGCATGGTACCCAAGGGTCACCCCATCCCAAAGTTCCTCCACTGAGCTGAGGCCATTCTATATAGCCAGAAACACACTTTGCCACAGGCCTAAAATGGGGGGGGGTGAACACTTTCTCAGCCTTCACTTCCTGCTCGGGATTCCCTTGACCATCCCTGGACCACATATCTGCTTCTACATGGCTGCTAATCAGCTCCCTTCTCAAGGGACACATATTTAAAGACACATGCTTAACTATCAGGAAAACTGTAGGCAAGAACTAGATGCAAGAGCAAATAAAAAATAAGTCTGAGAGGGAAGCACCTCTGATTTGGAAATGTGATTTAAGGCTGTACTGGGGATAGAAAAAAAGAACCTCTGTTTAGGAATTTCCCCTCAGAGTTGCTCCTAGACCAGAGTTTTTCAGTTTTCTCTGTGAACATCAGTCACACAAGACTATGGACAAATGTCGACAGTCAGATCAATTTGGAAAACACTGAGGAGTTTAAAAAAGCATTAGTATGTTAAAAGATTTTAGAATAACTATAGCAAATGAATCTACTGATCTTAAATGAGCATGGACCAAAGACTTTCTCTTAAATAACACCTATTAATATCTGTAGGCCACAGTGAGAAATGCCACACAGGGACTGAGGAGTTGAAGAGACCTGGGTTTGAACTTGAGCTTTGTCACCTACTAGCTTTGTGACCTTAGGCAAGTCATTTGCTAGGCCTAAACCTCAGTTTCTTCATCTGTAATATGGACAACAGTAGGTTCTTTGGCATTCGTTTTGTTATGCTTTATAACTTGGGTATTCTTTTATGGCCATTGATGATTATAAAATTTTAAAAGGGGGAAACTGCCTCCTCCCTTCCAGGCAGAATTAGTTATATGATAGCATGTTTGGCACCCCTGAGGGGCAGTGGGAGTCCTCCCTGCAGGGGGCTGTGTGAAAATTAAGTTAGATAATGCAGGGTGCCTGGTACCCCTCACTCATTTACTAAACACCTGACCCAAGCCAGAGGGCCCTGGACCACCCTGAGGCAAGCCAGAGCCTTGGGTTCCACACTTGCCCAAGGGATGTGATCCAGGCTCCTCCTGCAGGGATCTGCAGAGGCCTAATGGGCCCTATTCCCAGAGTTAGGAGCTCTAGGTCTCCTATGCCCTTGTCATTCCACGTTGAGAAGTCAGGTCTGGGCTGCAAGACAGTCCCATATAAACGCAGGACTTCCTCAAAGAGCTATGTCCAATTCCCCAAAGGCACTCCAAGGCACATTTCTCAGGCCTGGGTCTGCAGTGCTGGATACAGGTAATCTTCCCTACTGTTAACAAGTGTTATCAATTTGTTTGACTTGACTACCAAGGGCCGTGACTTCCCATCTCAAACAAGGAACCTCTTCCTGTAACCAAGTTCTGGAGCAAACCCAGCTGTTTATCAAATCTTAACTGTCCCCACCCCCAAAGGGCTAGGCTCCTACCAGAGCCCAGGCCTCAGAACTAGGAAGGAGGTTGGGCTGCAGGAGCCCACAGAAATGACCCTGGCACTGACCCCACCTGAAGTGTTCATTAGCACTGGTCTTTTATAACTTCCTGGCAGCTGTGACATAGCCTACTGACCCCTCCTCAGAGTATCAGGCTCCTCTGGGAGCGGCAATCTCAATGTCCTGACCAAGGGACACTCTTCTGGCCAAACTTCAGCAGATAGTGCCCAGCAGAGGGTTATTTACTGCTAAGGAACCTACTTCCTACAAGAGAAACTCAAAGTCCCAGTCAGCCAGCTTGAAACTTAATATGCCCTAGGTCCAGCCTTACCTCTAGCATGATGAAAAGTTCTAGTGCTTTCTGCTCGTTTGTTTTCACAGGGAAAGGAAAGGAGTAAATACCTTGTGCTGGTCAGCCTGCCTGGGCTGAGCACCCTTGACTCCCCCCACCCCATGCAGCAGTGACTAGCATACCGCAAGCATTAAGGCTGACACAACCTGACTCTGTCATCCACTAGCTCTGTGCCTTAGACTCTTGAGTCTCCTCCCCTGGGAAGCTTTCCTCAATTCCCGGGGCTGGATTTCCCCCACAATGCCCACCCACGTCTCTCTACTACTACATTTGGCCTTGTGGAAATTGTCTTCCCTGCAAGACAAAGCTCTGCAAAGTTCTTACTCATCTCTGCATACAGTAGACACAACGAAATGTGTGTGGAGCTCAACTGTTCTACTGTTTTGAAGCCTGTTTCTACATCTGTAAAACGGAAATCATGGCAAGCCATTCCTCAGAGATTTAGGTACAAGTTAAATGAGGAAATCTGAAAAACTCAATAAAGGACTGTACATCTTTCTTCTAGGGGACAGTCTTGGAGACTGAGTTGTTAAGGCACATTTCCAAGATGGCCACCATTTCCCATCTACTCTGTGCCCTACCTGGCACAGGATAGAATCAGAGATGGAAGGACTGGCCAAGATATCAGCCTGTGAGAGCCTCCCTCCAGCTGGGGCTACCTGCTCTGGGCAGCCCCATAAGCCTGCCTCACCAGTGATAGGCCTGCACTACTGAGAAGCTTAGGCTTTTGGAGGCAGCAGGTCAACCACCTGTACACAGGGGTGCAACTACGAGCTCAGGTTCAAGTTATAACCAGACCCAACCTCCAAGACATATGGCCTAACTTTTTTTTTTTAAGCTGAGCCATCCTGCCACCGGTTGGTAGCTCAGCGGCAGCTCAGCTCAGGCCGTGAATCAAACCGGGGACCCTGTTGCTCAGGGCTCAAACTCTTTGAGCGAGCTCTTAACCAACTGAGCCATTCGGCCGGCCTTGTGGCCTAACTTTTAAGAAGTCCTGGGGCTTTCTGAATCCAGAAGAAACAAGGTAAACCTGTTCCGAGTCCCAATTCTGTACACAGCAAGGTACAGATAGAGGGTAGCTGAGTACAGAAGGCAACTCATCTCCAGAGACACTTTACCTAAACTTCAAGCATTCAGTAGTGTGAAAGAGATTCAATCTTCAATAACAACTATATGGTATGAAGAGCCCCATTTTGCAGAGGAAAACTCTAAGGTCCATAGAGATTACGTAACTTATCCAAGGTCAAACAGCTGAAGTGGTGACACTGGCACTTCAATCAAACTCTTGGGTTTCGGTGTCTGTACTACACTGGTTTTTGTTTTTTGGTTTTGGGTGGGGGAGTAGGTAATAGGGGGTAGGAAGAAAAGCCCATCTGTGTTTCCTGGTGACAAGGTCCAATCTGTCCTGGGAGCCTCACCAGCCTCAGCAAAGGACACACACAAAGCAACATGGAAGAAGTCTGCAAAGATGAGCCCAGGCCCCCAGAGAGCAAGCACCATACCTCAGTAATGGCTGCACACCAACTGCCCAGCCAGAAACGGCCTCCCTAATTATTTTCTGCTTGCTCTGAGCTTTGATTAAGACCATGGCTCACCTGCTTGCTTCCTTTCCTTTGTTGCCCTCTACCTTCTTGTCAGGTCTGGCAGAACCAAGGTCAGCCAGCCCCCAAGGCCCAGGGCTGCTCCTGAAAATGCACATCCCTGACTTCATCCTCCAGTTCCTCCGCCTCCCATGGAATCAGAAGATTCCACAAGGAGATGTGGCCCAGACCTATCTGCCCTACTTTCCCAACTATTTTAAGCCAAGCTAAATTTTGCTTTCAAACAGCTAAAGATCAGCCCTTAGCCCAGAACCAACAGGGGTGCCCACTCCACCCAATATCTACTGTTAACTAGGAGCCACAGGCTGAGCTCACCTCTGCGTATCCCATGGCTGGGCCACACAGAAATTTCCAGACAGGTGTCTAAGGCCTGGGTCTCAGTATGTGGCCACCACAACCACAGACCATTCAGCAATGATTAAAAGTAGCAGCAAGTAAGTAATTAGCCTTCAGGTAATTACTCTCATTAATCCAGTTGAAATCTGTTTTAATCTGCCCATTCACCCCACAGGGAAGGAACAGAAGGAATGCGGGATGAACTGATATGAAGAGGTGGTAAAATATATTTCTTTTCCTAGAAAACAGCAGTAACAGGGGATCCAACCAGGCCCCAGATGGAAGGTGACCAAGGAGTCTGAAGCGCTTCCAAAAGGGTCTGTGAGGCCTTGCTCTAAATGCACACGCTTGGGGGGCCAGCCAAGTGGTGCATTGATTGGTTAAGAACTGGCTTGGGACGCCAGAGGTCCTCGGTTCGGATCCCACATATGAGGGCCAATGACAATGCCCTCTACAGCTAAGATGCTGAACAACAGCTCAACCTGGAGCTGGGCTGTGGTGAGGCGACGGCATAGGCTGCAGCCCCTGCTGCAGTGGGCTGCCATAAGCTACCATGTGTAGCCAGCTGCCAGCAGCCAGCGTGAACGGCCAGCAGCCACCATGAGCGGCCGTCCAGAGGCCGGCGACTGATCTGCCTCGCCCGGGAAGAGCGCAATGATGGTGCCAACTTGGGCCAGTGAAGCAACATCCTCCACAACTAGACTAAAGAACAAAAGGACAGCAACTTGTCTGTTCCCCTTCCCCAATTCCCCAATAAAATCTTAAAAAAAAATTAATAAATGCACACGTTTGGACACTGCTGAGTCAATGTGTGCCACACACTAACATCCATGCTGACAACCATTAAATAAAATATTGTATTCCTGCCATGTTGCCTTGGACGGGGACAGACACCACTGCCACTGACAACTGAAGTCTGAGTCAGATGAGAATTACTAGAGCCCTTCCCTATCTGCAGAGAACCACTCTTCATCAACTGCTCCCTTCCAAACTGCAGCCTTACATTACAGCTCCTCACCTCTGGGCTGGGGTACATGTTAGGAAATGAACAAAAGGAGTACCTCTTACCAGCTTGGGGAAGAGCCCAAGCAGGGTTTGAAGAGAACCACTACTAACAGGCAGGTGTTCATTCACCTGCACACCAAGTAAGCCGAGTGCTAAATTAGCAGGTGCCTAAGATTTAAATTAGTGGGGCTGTTCAGAACCCTGGAGCAGTGGCTCTCGACTAGGAATGATTTTGCTCCCCAATGGACATCTGGCAATGTCTGAAGACTTGTGGTTGTCACAGGAGGTATTACTGGCATCTAATGCATAGAGACCAGGGATATTTCAAAACATTCTCCAATCCACAGGACAGCCCTCATATAACAAAGAATTAGCCAACCCAAAATGTCCACAGTAAGGCTGTTGAGAAGCTGTGATCTAGAGCTTTACCAAGGCAGGCCTCACCGAAATCTCTACTTCAGGTCCAGATTGGATGTGAGTACTAATAATGAACTTCATCTGCCTCAAGTCAGCATTTACCCGCCCCCCACCCCCCTGCCTATGGCTATTCCCTGCTACTGCTGCCAAAGCCTGCTTTGCTTGGCTAACTCCTAGTTACCCTTCAAGTTCCAGCTTACTTCCTCCCCAAAACTTCCAACATTCCAGATTGGGTTAAGACATCCCCCCTCGAGGTACTCCTGCAGTTACCTGCCTGGGCTGTAACTGTCTGTGGCCTCCACTGGGCTATGAATTCCATGAAGGGAAGAGCCATGTTTTAGGCTCCACCACAAAGAGAGAGCAGGGAATCATTAAATGGTTGTGCATGAAAGCAAGCATCCACCCTGTGCCAGGTCCTATATCATACACCAAATCACATTTAATTCTAATAGGCTTTGAAAGTTGGCATCACCCCCACTTTACAGATGGGAAAGCGAGCTCAGAGAACACCCACGAGATCCCAGAGAAAAAGAGGATTCAAAGCCTGGGGCGGCACTTTTCAGGACATGGCTGAGCCTCCCACACTAATTCCACAGCCAATTCAGAATGCAGGAGGGGTTGGAAGGGACTAGGAAAGCTTTAGGACTTTTCTAAGGAAAAGATGAAGAGAATTTTCCTGATGATGCAATCCTGCTGCTGATCACTAACAGACCTGCATTTTAAGAAACTGAAACTTCTGCTCTTCAACACAGGGGTAGTGGGAGTCTCAAAGTCATAAGCTGCCTCTTGTGATCTCCCCATTACATCTGACTACTGTCAGACCTCCCAACAACAACCCCGAGGGCCTGTGACTAGGTGGAAAATTAACATCCCATTAAGAGGCCAAATGGCCCAGTGTGAGGTCCTTTCAGCATCTAGCACCCTTCAACAAAGTCAAGACACCAAGCTGTTTTCCACAGCAAGCCACTTGGGAGGGTCTGCCCTAGAAATCCCATGTTGAAGGACTGTGCTAACACATCAACCTAGGATCACCAGGTATAGGTCTGAGGAGAAGCTCCAAAGCCCAAAAGACAAAGGAACAAGTGATGCATAAGGAAGCCAAAGTAATGCTTCTGCTGCCACTGACTTCCCAAACTTCCCCATCAGGAGACCTTGAATTTCTGCTGCCATCCCCAGATATGAAAGCAGCCAACAGGGGCTGGATTTTAACAGTGTGCTTGCACTGGATTTCTCGCCCAACCACAACTCTGTTCAATTCCAGGGAAGTCACTCCCCCTCTTAGGAATGGGGAACGTCTATCAATTAAATATGCTCAGGGGTCTTCCTCTGTGAGTATTTTCTCTTTTAGGGAACGCATGAACACTTTCTCTTGTTAAGGAAACCATGAGTGGCAGAGTTGGAAACACTTTAAAATGATAAATTCAACTCTTTAAAAAAAATTTTTTTAAACCCACATAGATTTGAAAATGGAAACCAAGAATAAAAATGTGACTTGCTAAAAAACACAAAGGGAGAAGAGACTCCTAAAATCTTAGCCTTCTGGAAAAATGCTTTTAGATTCTCAGCCAGGTCCCTGATCATGTCAAGCCTACCCTCCCAATACAGAATTCTAGAGCCCTCCCTTTCCTTTCCCCTCACCACCCCCACAAAACAGAAGAATGGGTCAGAGCTGTAAAGCGCAGGCTCCTATTGGCTGCTACCTCCTGGGTCAGGGTGGGCAGCTAAAGCAGCAGGGCCGTCCCCTCCTCCCAGGTGGGTTACCTGAGCACAGTCACACTCCCCCTGCGCACTGGCAGGGAAAGCACAGGTTCCGACACCCGGATAGGCTTGAACTGGAACTTGCAGCCGAAGCAGAGCGCGGAATCGCTAAAGAAGGACACAGACACGATGGGTCGCTCAAAGATGTGGATGGGGTCCACGTGGGACACGATGCAGCCGCCGGGCTGGTAGTCGTTGATTACCGCACTATTGACGAAGCCCTCGGGGATGACGCGGTGCTCCACCAGCTTCTGGATCACAAGCTGGTGCACCCACTCGGGGATCTCGTCCACGTCGCCCGGTGGGTACAGGCGCTCCTGGCCGGGCCCGCGCTTCTGAAGCTGGGCGCCGTACGTGTAGCCCTCGCCGAAGAAGTACTTGTTGCGCAGTGGAGCCCGGTCCACCGTGTGCTCGTTGTACAGACCCTTCTCGGCGCGGGACACCACCTCGTCGATGCGGGCCTCGATCTTGGCGCACTCGTCCTGGCTAAAGAGGCGCATCTGGCGGATGCCGCTCTTCACCTTGCGCGCCTCCTCCTCCTTCTGCAGCTGCTGCTCCTCGTAGTCGCTGCGCTCCGGGTCCGAATCTTCCTGGTACTTGCGCTTGGTCCCGGGCATCGGGTAAGGCTCGGCGGCGGCGGCGGCCGCGGCGGCGGCGGCCACAGCGGCGGCCGCCTTATAGTTGTCCCGGGACGTCATGGACTTAAGCTTTTCACGCAGGTCCGTGTAACCGCTGGCGGCCGCCATGGCCCCGCGACGCTGTTCTAGGGTCCTCCGGGGCGGGCAGGGCGGCCGGGCATGGCTCTCGGGGGACGTGCCCTGGGGCCCCCGGAGAAAAGAAAGTCCTCAACGCAAGGCCCCCATGCGAGGCCGGGGGTCTGGTGGAGGGAGTCGAGGAGCTAGGCAAAGGATCGAACCTCAGGGGCAGCGGGTCATGCAGCGGTGGCGGCAACGGGGCTTTCTCCTCCTCCACCTTCTCCACGTCCCAGGGGGCAAGGGCACCGGCAGCGCCTCATACCGCGGAGGGCCGCTGCGGAGGATCCGCCTGACACCCGGCCAGACCCCCGGATGCCCGGCCCGACCCGCACTTTAAAGCGCTCCTCACGACGTCACGCGCCGCCCGCCCGACGTCCGCCAGCGCCGCTCCTCAGCGGGCTCCTCGGCGCGCACGCGCAGTGCTGCCGGTCACCGCGGCTCCGCGCGCAGCGGGCATGCGCGTGCGTGCGGGCCGGGAGAGCAGAGATGCCGGCGCAAGCGCAGACCGTAGCCGCTCGTCGTCCGCTGCCCCTCCCCCACTCGTGAAGGGCTCCGAGGGAAAGCCCACAAATAGCAACCTGCCTCCACACCACGGCACCTCCGTGACCAAGGGGTCCCTCCACAGGAGTGCGCTCACACTGCCAACGCTGTCGCTATGTTACGTCACAGCATAGTCCGACCACCGTAAACGCCTCAGCCCACAGCGCGCAATCACCGGGGAACCGCCACAACCAAGTCTGCTCCGTTACCGTCCCCTTTGGCGCTTTCACTTCTTTCATTGGGCCACCGGCCACGCGCTGGGCGGGCCCAGACAGAAGTTGCCGGAAGTTGGTTGGTAATTATGCCTGTCAATCAGGCGGTTGCCTTGGCTACTGTGTCCGTCACTTAATTAGCGGCGGGAGGGTGGCGAGGACCCTTGAAGGGTGAATGGGTGGCCAAGTAAGTGCCTGAATGTAGAATCCACCGGAAGAAAGCCCTCAGACAAATAAAGAAACTTTTGAAATTGGGAGGCCGAGAGCGCTGCGTCCCAGCTCTAAACCCCGACGGCGACGTTCACAGAACCTGGACGCATTGAGGGGGCATCTCCCTGCTCACCTTTCCCCCACCCCGCCGCCGCCGCCGCCGCCGCCGCCGCCGCCGCCCGGAGCGGACGTTCCAAGAGTCACGTGCGTGTGGCGGCGGGCGCATGCTCAGCCGCCAGACGCGCCGGGTTTGTTGTAGCTTTTCCTTGGAGCTAGAGGTGGGTATCGAGCACCTCTTCTGGGAACGAGAGAAGATAACTCAAGGGGATAAGTAGGATCACAGATAAAGCAAAACTATAGCTAACTACTAGAGACAACTGAAGAGTTTTGAAGCAATGCGGCTGGACGGGATGCTCGGCGTGAATAGAGGCGTGGCGATTCGGGGTGCACAGAGGCGGGTCCACAGATAGGGGTTTCTGCTCAGCCTCCCAGGATAAAGTTCATCTGCTTTGCTTGGCGTTCAAGGCCTTTGTTGAAGACCTTTCCTACCCTTTTCCGTGAACACTGAGCCCCAGCCTCGCGTTGACATTGCCAGATCTACATATATTATCGCCTGTCACACCTCCTGGCCTTTACCCAAACTGTTTCTTCCACCTGGAATACCGGTTCCCTTCCACCCATCTTCATTTTGATTTTTTGAGACTCAGCTCACTTCTTTCTAGCAACCTTCCCAGATTCTCACTGAAATGAAATGCATCTTAGGTTTCACGATCTGGCCTCTGCGTCTGCATTCAGAATCTACTCCCTGGCCATTGCTCCCTGCCGGTGTGTCTCTGCGCCCTCTCCACCGCCCCCTTTTCTCCCCCCGCAGCTTGTCAGGGCATGAGCACTGGACTCTAGAATCTGACAGACATGGGAATGAATCTTGACCTCCTGACAGACTGTATGGCTGTTAACAATCCTGGGCAAGTGACTTCCCCTTTCTGACCCTCAGTCTTCTGGTCTGTAAAGTGGGAACAATATTTGTGTCCACTTAACATGGTAGATGAGAGGATGGAATGAAGTCACATATGTTAAGCACAGCGGATTGCTGACCTGGAGTCTGGGCTTCAGTTTCTGCATCTGTAAACTGAGGGTCCTGTCAGTCCCATTTGGAAGGTGGGGTTGTTGTGTAATGACTTGGCAAGGCCACGCAGCAGGGTCTGTAGGATGGGGAATCCTGGACACTTGGGACCCTGGGCACTGTCCTCAAGCTCCCTGTCAGGTCGCCCTCCCCAGAAGCAGCCAGTGCAGGGGGAAAATGGGACAGGCATGAAGCTTTTAGTAAATTTGGCTCTTGCCTTTTTTTGACACAGCCTAGTGGGATGCTGCTGCTGCTGGTGGTGGTGGTGGTAGGAAGGCAGCCGCAGGTAGTGAGAAGGTGGCCAGTGAGCAATGCAGCCTATGCTCCGGCCCCAGTCCTTCCTGGGCCATACTATGTGAACACCTAGGCAGGGTCCCTTTGTCTGCATAATGGGAAGTTTGGCTGGAAGGGCTCAGGCCCTTCAGAAGCCTGGAGCCCACCTCTATACTGCCCTCCAACAAGGGGGCATTGGACTCTGCTCACACACCTGCTTGGCAGGGAGCTCTGCTACCTCAGCCATCAGAAAGTCCTCTCAGAGACTCCCCAGTGGAGCCCATCTCTGCTCACGCAGGCACAAATGTGAACCACCTCTTCTCTAGATCTCAACAGCCCCTCCCATCCCAGACACCCCCATTGGAAGCCTCCACGTCCTCCTGCCTGCCTGCCTGCCTGCCTAATCTGGAGCCAGGGCCCTCCCCTCTCTGAGCCTCCGTGAGAGACAGCACAGACTCAAGCCAGCTGCCTACACTGAATCTTGGCTAGGCCACTTAGTGGTTATTTGCCTCACTTCTGTGGGCCTCAGTTTCCCCATATAACAAAATGGCAATAATAGTACCCACCTTGTTGGGGTATTTTGAGGATTAAATGGGTTAGTACATGTACAGTGCCTGTTGTTGTAAAGTAAATTTTGATAAGAATTAGCTTTCTTTAAAAGAAGTCTTCCCCACCCCAAACATCCATTTGAATCCTCTGTGGGATGTAATGATGACCACTTGGAAAGCGCTTGCCCTAAAGCTGTCAATGCTTCCAGTTTACACAGAAGGAAGCAGAGGCTGGGAGGGCAAGCAACTTGCAAAAGGCCACACATCTAATCAGCATACAGATGTGGAATTTGTACACAGGACTTACTGGCTCCACAGCCTGGCCTTTCACTACCAAGCCAAGATTTTCTGAAGATTCTTATGGGTCCTGGGCAGGAGGAGGCACCCTTGGGCAGCGGGAGACCTGGGGTATGTGGACACTGGAACCTGGCCAAGTCCCATACAGAGGCAGCAGTGAGGTCCTTCCAGTTACTTTTCAGCATGCAAATTGGTGCATCCTGTTATACCCATCTGGGATCGTGAGCCTTTACCAGTTGACTATCTCAGGCTCCCATGCCACCCAGATATTTCTCCCATGGGGTTAGAACATGGGGTTCTCACCCCATGCTAGGCTGGAAACCCTGGGGCTTGGTCCCCTCTGCTCTGGATCTCCCCACATATACCTGCAGTTCTTTCTGGGCCTTGGCCCAGGTAGGGGGCCCAGTGTGGTACCCCTAGGGTGTCTGGAGACAAGGCAGGGTCTGGCTCTCCTGCCACCCCTCTTTCTACTCTGCCTCATGGGGATTATTACCACCTCTTATGAGGGCTCAACTCACTGATGCCACCAAAGTCACCAGAATGGCTATTAAAACATGAGCCTTATGCCTTAAGGACCAGGTCCACTTCTCTGGTTTCCCACAAAGCACCCCAAAACTGAGACCTCAGTCACTTATCCAGTTCACAGTTCTGCAGTCTGGCCAAGGTTCAGCCAGAAGGCTCTTGTTAGTTCCATGTGCATCAGCTGGGACGGCTCAGTCTAGAAGATTCACTTTGAAGTGGCCTCACTCACATGCCTACTCATATTCTGAAACCCAGAAGGGATCTCACCTCTCACTTGGGCAGAGCTACTGCAGTAAGTGTAGCTCTTTGCAGCTCTTTCCCCATATCCCTCACCTCCAAAATCAGTTAATGCATTGGACTCCTCATCTCAGGGCTTCTTCTGGGGGAAGCCAACCTGAGGCAGTGGTAAAGATGGAATCTGTGGCATCTCTTCCCTTCCTGTCTCAGCACAGTCTGATTGAGCCCCCAGTCCTGCCCATTGGACCTCCTAAATCGCTCCCAAGTTAACTCCTCCCCACCTTGTCACCACCACCAGTGTCCCCGCCAGTTTCCCAGCTGATGCCTCAGCCTCCTCTCTGGTCGCCCTGCTTCCTACAAGCACTCTGTTTGGGGGTCAGAATGACCTATTCAAAGTACAATCTGAGCAGATTGTCCCTCTTCCACTGAAAAACCTTTGAAGGCTCTTCATGGCCCTTGGGATGAAATCCTAAATCTGTAGTGCAACCTGCAAAGCCTTACCCAACTCACCTCTGCCAGCCTCTTCAGTCTCAAGTCCTTGCATTAGTCGCATCCACTCCAGGGTTCCTGCATGCTGTTTTCCTCCCCTCATCACCCAGCTAATTCCCACTTACAGATTTATACCTTAACTGTGAGCAACTCCCAGTGACTGGCAGTGGCCAGCACACAGTAGGTGCTTAATAGGTATTGAATAAGTAAATATTTTCTCTGACACCAGGGTTCCAGCCAATTACACCCCCACATATCTATCTAGATTTCCTCTCCCAAGCCTAGTGCTCCAACTCCCCCACATCTTCCCCCAAAGCACCAGCACTTTCCATCAACATTCATTCATTTATTCATGTGACAAATATTTTTTGAGCGCCTACTTTGTGTTAGGCATTGTCCTAGGCTCTGGTGGATATAGTAAGGAACAAACATCCTCCCCTCCATCTCTTCCTAACAAACTCCTACTCATCCTTCGAAACCCAACCACAAAGTGCTATTCTCTGGGAAGCTCTTCCCCAGTCTTCTCCTGCCCCAGCCCCTAACATGAAACTTCTTTCTCCCTCCACTATACCACTTTTGAACCTGATGTGGGCCATCCAGTGATAGGGGCCTGTGGTTGGGGCCACCCAAACAGTGCGGAGTATGGGGAGAGATCTGCAGACAGAGGTAAGGACAGATGTCTCTTCTGGAAGCTCTTGTTCATGGGCAGTGAGTCAGGAGGCACAACTAGGCTTTCAACTCCTGCCTCCTCCGTCAGACTTGTTTTCCAGCCACTCAGCAACTCCATGGAGGAATGGTGGCTGCCAGGCACACCTTTTATTTGCACAGAAATAACCAAGGTTCATGAATCCAAGCTGAGCAGCAGTCCGGGGGGAGGGGAGGGGGAAGGCACTCAAGGAGGACGTGAGGGGCTGGGATGTGGAACAGATTTGAACATCAGCCCAGGTTATACCAAAAGCAAAGTCTAGCTCATCCAGGCAACTGATATGGGGCTTCTTTGCCACAGGTGGGAGTCAGGCAGGTCCCACATCATGCACGTGGCAGGAGGCCCCACGAGCCAGCCTTTGGAAGTTCCTCCTGCTCTCTGACCCAAGATTACATTCTGTGATTCTGGCCAAACTGGATGGGTCTTCTAGGGTTCCTAGGGACTTGGGTCACACCTCCTACCACCTCTTGGTCTCCCTCAAGGTTCTGGCCCCTTACAGGGATCACTGGCCCAGAGAAGTCGAGTAACTCCCCTGGGCCACACAGCAAGCCTTCTGGCAGAGAGCAGCTTCAGGGCTGGGGGCTGGGTCAAAGCAGCGTTATCTCACTGGGGGGCAGTGTAAGCCGCTTCTCCCGGGCACTGAGCAGGTTCTCCACGTGCACAGCCACCACACGACACAGCTCCAGGCCCTGCAGGAGAGACAGTGAGAGTCTGTGCTCCCACAACACTTCCCCAACTCTCACCTTGGGGTAAGATGTAGATGGGACAGAGGCAGAGTCCAGGCTAGCCTCCCCACCTTTCCCAGGACCCTGGGAGGAGCGTAAGAAGCTGGAAGGAGGAATGCTAGGCTACAGGCTGGAAGGGGTAAGCAAGCAGGAGACAAAGATCAGCTGTTAGCTTTGCTGCATGTGAACTGTGACCTGGGGCCAGTGACTTTTACCCCTTTGAGCCTCAGTGGCCTCATTTATAGGATCTTAGTTTACCAGGGCCTGCCTCACAGGGCTCTGGTGAGGGTTCCATGAGATTTTGTTATGTGTGAATCCTTTAGATCTTAAAAATATTAGTCCAGTTGGGCTGGCCGAGTGGCGCGATGGTTAAGAACTGGCTTGGGATGCCAGAGGACCCCAGTTCGGATCCCACATATGAGGGCCAGTGACACTGCCCTCCACAGCTAAGATGCTGAACAACAGCTCAACCTGGAGCTGGGCTGCCATGAGTCGCCGGTGACGGCGTAGGCTGCAGCCCCTGCTGCAGTGGGTTGCCATGGGCTACCGTGTGTAGCCAGCAGCCAGCGTGAGCGGCCAGCAGCCGCAGTGAGCGGCCGTCCAGAAGCCGGCGACTGATCTGCCTCGCCCGGGAAGAGCGCAATGATGGTGCCAACTTGGGCCAGTGAAGCAACGTCCTCCACAACTAGACTGAAGAACAAAATGACAGCAACTTGTCTGTTCCCCTTCTCCCAATTCCCTAGCACTGTTCCCATCCCCCCAATTCCCCAATAAAAATCTTAAAAAATATATATATATATATATATTAGTTCAGTCAATAAATGGTAACAATTTCTAACTATGTGTTGCCATGGTTACCACCTGGCACCCACAGCCTCAGGGCTCCCAACTGGCACAGGGAGGCAGCAAAGAACTGTGGAAAATCCATCTGTGAGTGTGGTTCTCAGACCACAGCCAATCAGAACCCCCGGGAATATCCTGAGGGCCAGGAGGAACTGCTCAGAGAGAGGGTAGAAATAACAAGGACAGCACTTGCTAAGCGGCAACTGTGGGCCTGGCATTGTCCCGAGAGCTTCCTTTGTCCTACCCCTGCTAGTGCCCACAGTGTTGTTATGAGGCAGATGGTCCTAGATCCCACTCCACAGGTGAGGTAACTGAGGCCAGAGCCATGAAGCCACTTGCCCCAGACCTCACAGCTGGTAGGTGGTGGGGACTTGAACCCAGGTAGCAGGAGGCCCAAGGCCACACTCTGAAGTGCTCTTTGCTGGGCTTAGCTGTGGCTGCCCCACCCTGGGGGCCACCTCAGCTAATGAGATCACAGAGTGCATGATGGTGGTTCTCCCCTCCAGCCAATCCTCCTACCCACATGCTGCAGTGCTCCAGGCCTCACTGGGATTACCGCCCCATTTGACAGGTGTGGAAGTGGGATTGCCTTGAGATCCTGTCACACAGCCTGGCAGAGGTAGGTGGGATAGTGACCCAGATCTGTTGGCGGCATTGCCGCTGCACTCAGATACCACTTCTTCCTGGAAGCCTTCCTGATTACCTCCCAGATAGCTCAAATACACCTTCTCAGCACTGATTATGGTTTATTGGAGAAATTCAAAGCAGACCATGTCATGGAGGGGTGGTTGTGGGCCTGGATCTTTAGGAAGGATGCGGTAGGCTGCCCCAGCCCCAATTCTGCCCCTTCTGTGAGCCTCAACCCTCTTTCCAGTGGGGCGAGAACTCTGGTCCTGCCCCACCCCCAGGGAGCTGTGATACTTGGACAGGAGCCTAGAGGTCAGCCACGCCTTTTTTTTTTTTTCTCTTCCCTCTCGCCAACCTCTATGGCTCTTAGTGCCCTCAGGACAAAAGCCCCAGATTCTTAGCCTGACATTCAAAGACCTTCAAGACCTCTCCTGCCCAGTTCCCCATCAAATTCTTCACTAGTCTGCAAACAACCTGGGCCCTTTCCCATGATCCCACAACCAAGGTGCTTCACTGGGAGACGCCCTAATCATCTGCAATTCTGTGCAGTGCTGGGTTAGCCCTTTCCCCTGCACTGGGCTGCATGCTCTCTGGGGCATGGCTAAGAGCTGACCTGTCTAGGAGCCAGGCCCAGGGAGGAGGCCTGTGAGTGGATAAGGGAGTGACGGCTGGGTGACAAGGCCTGGGGGCCAGGGCGGGACCCACCTGCTCCAGCTGTAGCTGCATGGTGCACTGGGCCGCCACATCCCCCAGTGTGATCTCCACATAGGGGTAGCTGGAGCTGGCTGTGGGCCGCTGGGTGCGCGTGGACTGGATCTCCTTGAGGGGGAACTTCACCATCAGCTCCTAGAGCGGAGGGGAGCAGACAGGCTTAGAGGTGAGACAGTCTCACTCACCCTTACCCCTCCCCTGCAGATCAGGTCAGTAGAATGCAGGACACTCCTGTTCGAGTACCAGTTTCTCAGTGACTTCCTGTGTGACCTCGAGCAAGTCATCGCTTTACCTCTCTGGACCTCACTTGTAAAACTGATTCAACGAATAATGATGTACACATCTACAGTGTGCCAGGCACTGTTCTAAATGTTTGAGACCCACGGCTGCTGTAGATGCCAGTGGTGCCCTGACCTTCACATCAAGGCTGCATCTTCACACCTGCACCTCTGTCTTAGCCCCAGGAACAAACTCGGAGCACATGCAGGGGAAACCAGAGCAGCGAGGGTTACTGCTGTGATGAACGTGGTGGCCAGACCCCAGCTCCATCCTCCCAGGCTAGGGAACATCTTCTGAAGGGTGTGTTCTATGCTGTCCCCCAGGGCTTCAGCTAGACTGAGCACCAGTTGCCACAGCGGGAACTTGTTTGGTAACACAACCTTCCCAAGGTCTTCCCAAGGTGTGTTAGACATCCCTTTCCGGTCTCACTTCCTCACTACAGTGTTTCCTAGAACCACCTCCAAATAAACCACTTGCCCTAAAGTCCTCATCTCAGGGTCTACTTCTGGAAGAAGAACTAAAAATGGGGGCCAACAGGTCCTATTAGTTATGGAGTTAATTGTGCCCCTTCCCCATCCATATGTTAAGTCCTAACCCCCCCACACCTCAGAATGTGACTGCATTTGGAGACTGGGCATTTAAGGAGGTGATGAAGTTAAAATGAGTGGGGAAGAGTGGGCCCTAATGCAATCTGACTGGTGTCCTCATGAGAAGAGGACATTCGGGGCCAGCTGAGTGGCATGTTGGTTAAGAGCTGGCTTGGGACGCCAGAGGGCTCCGGTTCGGATCCCACATATGAGGGCCAGTGACACTGCCCTCTACAGCTAAGATGCTGAACA